AATTCTTTAAAAAAAGAAGGCGCTGAATTGTTTGGGTCTCAGAATGTCAGAAAGGTGAAGGTTTGTGAGATTATAAAACAATTTGTTTTGTATAGTGCCACCAATGCTTTCCATGTGTATTAATTGTAGTATATTGGCTATAAGACTAATTGCAACACTGATATTCAACCCAATGTTTTTGACTTAAAACCAATTTGAAAAAATATGAGTTGCCTTAACTGGGATTTGAAATCCAGACCTCTCGCTTCCTAAAACTAGCGCGGCAAACCACTCGGCCTGTAAAATTTATATATGATTATGGCCTGAAGAAAAACCCATATTATTCTAAATTAGGGTTTGTAACGACGCTTACTGTTTTTAACACTTGTGAGTAAATAATCAATAGGGCTTACTATAAGCATGTATATCTATAAAGAAATAAAACAGTATTAGAATCTTCGACCATTCGGGAATTATTTTGCTTGAAAATTAATCCCGCCTGTCATGTGACCTATTTTACGCAGTGATCTCCACTGAATTTTTCGGCCTTAATGTTACATATAAAGGGAAGTAACCGCTTCAAAAAAGCGGACTACTTTCGGCATTTGCAATTAACAGCATTAGAGTCTGAAATTTCGCTACCATTATTTGTTTGGTCTGACGACCCAAACAAATAAAAAACAATGAATGTCTTGTGCTCGAACTGTTTTCTCTTCACCATGGAAACACGCTCAAATGGCACATAAAATATACCATGTAGTGACCATACTGAACTTGTACATGTATGTAATTTATTTTCGTTTTAGGATCGATCGTAACAAAAGATCCAAATAACTGCTTTGGTTCTGAATGTAACTATGGGGTAGTGACGACATGGGAACGAAGCTGTTATTACCCTCCAAACGTATGTAAAGGTGGTTGGTTGAATATCACAGGCCAGTGTTGTAAAGTGTGTGCAAATGTAACAACACAACCACCAGGGACAACGTGTGACATAGGCAACAGACGTTTCACTGTCGGTAAGTTTCAGTAACTCATTGACGTTGATTAAGATTACTAAGGGAATAAAAGTTGACTTACTTTTTGCTGCACTGTCATCGAAATTTCATAATACTTGTCTTTCACCATTCAATAATGAATTCCTTTGGATATTTTTTATTTGAAATGCTCAAAGATTACTGTCTGTAGAATAAAGCAATATAATGGAATAATTGGCAATCGCAAGCTTACCAGATACTCTTGATTTTGTTGTTGTTGTTGTTGTTTGTCTTTTTTCTTTTTCTTTTTTTGTTGTGGATCGCAACATTCGGCTTACTCCGTCATTAGACTTATCGTTAATGGACGAGCTACTGGTGACTTTCATACAAATATGAGCCGAAAGTTGGCCAAAACTTTTCTTTTTAACATATAACTGTCCACACGAAGATACACTTACCCTAAAATAAAACATTAAATAGTGAAAAGCAGGATCTTTTACTTGATTAATTGTTGATCAGATGCACATTATTTTCTCTGTGTTTTAAGGTCAGCGCACAAACAATGATCTTTGTCACGTGTGCACGTGTACGGTCGACGGCACGGAAAGTTGCTCCAATATCACGTGTGATACTGTGCTGGACTGTGACGTCAAATACAAGCCAGTTGGGGCCTGTTGTTTTACCTGCGGTAAATATTTTATCTTATATTTTCATTGAATCTCAATAGTATTTATACCATTTTGTTTAAAATAATCTTTATTAATTTTAATGGTTAAATCTTTAAAAAGTATTTACATGGTGATTATTAGCGCATTTTTAGCTCATTTGAGCATAAAGTGTGTCCGCCGTTCGTTGTTTTCCAAACCACTTGATAGATTTTGACCAAATTTTACAGGAATGACCCTGAGGCGGTCCTCTACAAAAGTTTTATAAATCATGACCAAGGGGTCAAAATAGGCTGTGCCCGGGGTCACTGAGGTTATATAGAATTGTATAGGAAAATACATTGAAGTCTTCATGTTGTGAAACTACAACGACAAGAGCTTAAATCTTTAGCGTGTAGCATTTCCTGGTAGACCTTAACAAAAGTTACATAACTTATACATCTGGGTTAATAAATAGTCCCGCCCTGGGGGTCACTTATTTTACAATTATGCAGCCTATGAAAAATTGACAAACCCAATAAGACCCCATTACTGGTTTTAACCTCTACTAGCAATGTATCTCAGGTGAGCGATCCAGGGCAATCATGGTCTTCTTGTTGATGTATTCTTTTGAAATATTAAAAACTGTTATTTTTGCATTAGATATTTGGCTGTTTACACTTTAAAAGGTATTTTATAATGCACATATTTTGCAAACACTTCAGGGTGTTCACTAGCCATGAAATCCTGAGGGTCATTTTGACTATGTTTTACAGACTACAAGGCCAATTCCCCATGATTTTAACAAAATTTGACCCTCCAGTTAAAATCCTGAGGGTCAAATCAGGCCTTTTGGAAATTTTAAAGGTCAAAGAGTCATTTCAAGGGTCTAACGGACACCCTGCTGACTTGATAAAATATTTTATAAGGCACTGTTCCGTTATCATTAGTACAGAAAGTTGTTTAGTGATAAATATATTGGTAGCAAAGACTTTTGGATCTAATGATCGCTAGCCGCATGGGTTCAAACCCCATCAGGGGCATATCGTTGTTTCCTTGGGCAAGAAACTTTACACTAATTGCTCAGTACTTGTTGGTTCGAAAGTGTGTCTATAAGCTTATAGCTTCTACACAATGGAACTAAAATAAATTCTGTATAAACCAAAGATTTTGGTGTTTAAACGCTGTTTCTTGGCAAATATGTTGTAAGGATAGAAATTCAGCGACTTACTGTTGGTTTCTGACTAATAAATTGTTGACTTAAAAATTCAGCAATTAGACGTTGTTTTGTTTTACCATTATATCAGTAACATAGTTAATTGGTTAACAAAGTTATAAATTGACAATTTAAACTTTTACATATTCCACACATGCGAAACTTTACATACCTTATTCCTGTTTTGTTTTGTTTTGTTGTTGTTGTTTTCCCTCGAAAGATTGATAATATTTTGTGATCACCTGAATGATATGTACTTTTTTCAAGTTTTGATGAAAATGATATCACGTTTTCCTGGTCTTTGTTCGAATCTTCAAAATTCTATGTTTTTATTTTATTTCAGGTTCTTCACAAATGACAGTGAATATTCTTCTGATGTTATTCATATTGTTGATATCAAAAGGGTATCATCACATTTGAAATTATTCTGATAACATTCTTGACAAACTATTGACTATTTAATTTTACCCATTAACCTGAAAATAAATCAAAGTACAGAAGAAAACAGAGGATAAATCAAAGAGAGAACATGCCAACATTACTGAGAACATGTTCTTGAAGAATCTAGTACTAAAATATGATACCGTAAGACTGCAGTGAATATTTGCAAGCTGTTCGTTTACAATAAAATGGAAGAGTGATTTTAGGTAATCAAAAAACATAAATATTGAATTTAATTAACAAACCACATATTATTTTAATAATTTTAGAAATTCATATCAAACTATACAATTGTTTGCTGCATGATGATCAATTCAACAGAAAACGCAACATCGTACCGATGTCAATCCGATATACAAAATAGTTGCATTGATAGGTCATGTAGGCCCGACGCAGACCCGATGTATCTTTTTTGATGTAACACGAAATGTGGTTAGGGTGGTTCTAGTAATTGAAATCATACAAATGACAATTTATTCACATTATTAAGTAAACAATGCCATTACATTTAGAATTTTTCAAAATACTCAATATCTTTGCACTGCAGCGGCCCGACGTCGGCCAATGTCGGCATATTTTGCCGACATGCCGACATTAAACCTATATCGGCCCAATATGGTCGTGTTGGCTGGGGTACCCTTGGAAACGGAAGGACTAGTGTCATGTTACTAATTTGTAAAAAGGGAAAAATGGACTGATTGCAGTTCAACGCCTTATTACATTCTTTCTCCAGTCTGGCTCGCGATATACATGCATTTTCTTTCACTTTTAGATAAATCCAAACTCTGTGTTATTTTATATGTGTTATTGTTGCCCACATGTATACTATCATGATCTGGAATCCTATGCCAGCTGACATTGCCAAGGCACCTGTCCTGGGGTATATTAAAAGCCCGGAGTGACATGATTATTAAGTGGATAGACAGTTTTAATTAATATTTTAACTGTACAGTATTTATTATTTTTTGTAACTTTATCAGCTTTGTTTTAATTAGTCACACATACATTGGTATTTCTTACCTCTTTTTTTTCCTTCTAATTCCTAGCATTGCTATGCGCCAGAAAAATTCGGCCCCCTGACGATTCGCCCCATAACGATTCGCTCCACTTTATTTACGAGTCGTCCCACTTAAATGACGGGGACTGACGATTGCAAACAAGATATTTGGCAGCGTCCGTCAATTTCCGACTATGTAGCAAAAATATAGAACTTTTCTATAATTTAAAATAGACAATGAACAATGACGCATGTATTCTTTATCTATTCGATCTACCTCTCCTTTTGTATACATTTTATTGATCTTATTGCGTGTGCTTTTAATTATCTGTAAGAAAATTTAATTTATTATAATCAGGATTTATAAACGATCTTGGTAATATCCAAGTAACCCCGATTTTTATCATTAGATAAGTACTTACATCATTATACGTATCATTTTTTTCATCACCATGCAAGTAAAAATGTATACATGCAATTTGGTCTTGTTGTTGTTACAAATAAATAAACAATAGATATCTAAAGATTTTGTTTTTAATTAAGACAGATATGCATGATTGATGCTAAATCAGCAAAGAAATAGGGAGACAATAAAATCCTTTCCTATAAAATATAGAAAATGTTTGCACCACTTTAACGCACAGATGTTTTTATATAAGCCCGAAAGAAACTCGGGGATATTATGTTATACCCCCTGGCCGTCGTTCCGTTGCAATTTGGACAAACCCCTTTAAAATAAAAAAAACGGGAAAAACTTAATTATTTTCCCAAATTTTCAAATTTTAAAAAACCAAGGGGAAAAAGGCCCCCAAATTTTTTTTCCA